CATGGCTTGTCATGTCATTCGTCCCATAATTTCGTTCTCTTTATTCATCCATTGTATCATTGTCCTTAGTCAATACTCTTAAAAATTTTTATTTTTAATCAATAACCTTTATAATTTAAAACTCATAAAAAAAAACTCAAAAATTAACAATCAAACTACCTATCTATATTTTAATTGTATTGGTAATTTAGGGTTTTTCACATGTTTTAAATTATGGAAGATGTTGATAATGAGCAAAAATTAAGAGAGGAGTTAACCACAAACACACACACAAAAAAAAAAGGGTGTAAATAAGAGATTTGAGGTATTGTTAAGTAAAAAAATCCTTAAAAAATTTTACTGATTATTAATTAATTTTAAGTTAAATACAATTTAAGTTAAATACTGATCTTGTTTTTTTACCTTTCGTGTGAAATTTACATACCTATTCTATATCTATTTGAAATTTGATGGTGCATGTATAAAAACATTACTTGAAAATCATGTAAGCTATTAGATTAAACAGTTTTTAACGGTAAGATCAAAGTACATTCACGAAACTTAAAATAAATGCAGAGCTGACCAAACATGAACAGAGGACATGTTGGGTTGATATTTTTTGTGAGCCATAGTGTTGTTTGGAGGGTTAGCTAGGTGGCTAGATGAGTGAAGGCTATGTGTTATAGGGGGGTGGGTCTACGCCTCAAGCAAACTCAAGAAAGGGGAAAGGAGGCCCCGTACGTTTGTTTGAAGTGGTGGGGGTATCCTAACCGGGAATTGATTGATAAAAATGTAGGTTCCCAATTTGTAATGTGAAAGAATAAGAAGATGGATGTGCTCAGTTCACGTTTTGGTTTGTTGTTTTTCCCTAACCACTCTCATTTTTTTGGTCATATCTCAATTCTATTCAAAAGGGTAGGGGTCCATTTGCAGCTCATTTTTTGGTTCATGGGTCTCTTTCTATGTCCTCTGCCATAACAAATGCTCCAAATAGCATAACTGTTTTTGCTTCTTCTTTTTTTTCTTTTTGTGTTTTCTTTTAAGATTCATGCCAAAACATATTACATATACTTTGTTAAACCGTTAATTTATCCAACTTGGTTCATTGGAAAATATACTTTTGTCAAAGCATGCTTGAGTTCAGAATTAGTAACATTAATTATATTAAACATAAGTTAAATTAGGGCGGAAATGAAACTAAATTAGTTAGAAACCCAAAGAAGTAAAGGACTACTTGTAATTGGTGCTACTGAATCACTGGCAATGCCAATGGTCCAACATCTGGGTTGCTTGTCGCTGTGGGTTCACAGGGGGCCTAATTAAGAAAAGTGAATCACTGGCAATGGTTCAACTGGATTGATGTCCTTAACTCAAAAATGGGTTAGTGAAAAAATATCCCATTTTTAACTATATCTTTCGTGGTGAAGAGTGGAGACACATCCTACCCTAGGTCCTAGGCTCCCAAGTTCTTAATGTCGACATAAATAGGATTAGTTGTCTTAATTTTCAGTTGGGTTTAGAGGACAAGCAGGCAGGAAAATGTCTTTCCAAAACAAGTTGTGGCATTTCAACAAACAGGATTAAATTTTGTCTAAATTTAAAAGCCTTGAATTGAATAATGATTCCAACAGTAGTTGCTGGAGATACATGACAACTCCATGCTAGACTGTCATGACTCATTGAACATGAAGGGACATAAATGATCATTAAACCTTTAATTTGATTGATATGAATCTTTGGTAAAGTTTGTGTTTTTTAAGATTTTACTGTCAGAGGATTGTACTTGCAGGATAAATTTTTTATGTAGTATGTGCCAGAAAACTTTACTCTGAGTTAGATAATTAAAAACAATAAAGTCAAGATGCTCATCTGCAGGGGTTAACATTACTCACTGCGTTTCCTTACTTGCAAGGTTCTTTCTTTTAATCATTTATTATTTGGAAATTAAATGAAAAGAAGTAATCCTCTCTCTTAATGCAAATGGAATTTGAGTCTACTGACTACCATCAAGTTTTATCAAGTTCGAGTTTAATTATATTGAACTTAATAAAAGTTTAAATTAAACTTGATTAATTACTATAACATCAAAAGTTTGAGGTTAGATTCTAAAAAACTCACCAATATACTGCCTTGGCTGCCTGCCTAATTGCCTCCAAGGGCCAAAGCTAGCTCATGCACCTCATAATTTTCTTGTGGGATTTTTCCTCCACTCTAGTAGCTCAAACCAAACATTAGATGCTTTGCATTAAATAAACTCTTAAACCCCCTCCATCTCCATATTTGTTCACTTTTCCCCAGTCTATTTCTAGCAACAGCTTGACCCAATTTCACCTATAGCAGAAGTGATGATAAACTGAGTAGCTAAGCCTATTTTGTAGCCTCTTTGAAGAACCTAGACCTTTGAGCTTCCTAACTTATGATTTTCTGTGAAATTTAGTTTCTTATGTTCTCTTTACACTTGTACCCTTAGAAATCAAGTATGTTTTGCCAGGGTACATATGATTAAGGAAATTAATTGATATATTTTTTAGTTTAATATATTATATAATTATTTATTAAAAATTATTATTTTTAAATATAAAATTAAAA